GGGTCCAAAATGTCAGATAAGACTCTCCAAATTCTTCTTGGAGAAACCAGCTTCAGGGAAGGTCTGGATGGATCCTCCTATCAGTGGTACATCCAAGATTCATCTATCAGTAGATAGAGAAGGGAGAATTGGGGTGCTGCTCCTCTAGAATTACCATATTTTTCAGAATATAAGATGCTCCGGAGTATAAGATGCACCTTAGTTTTGGGGGAGGAAAATATGAAGAAAAAATTTCTGACTCTGCCTACCAGCATCCATGGTATTCAGCTGGCTAGCTTCCTGTCAGTGTGTAAAAGTTCATGACTTGGAACACATCAAGATCAGCCAATGAATAGGCATAGCAACTAAGTCAGCCATTGAGGGCTATTTGGACTCTGAAACAGTATTTGCTTTATGAACAATAAGGAGACAGGAATGATCCTGGTTTAGCTGAGAACTGAAAGTGAAACTGCTTGTGCTTTGCTTGTATTTACTGCTACCTTGGAAAACCTGCTTTTGGTAATGTATTGTATATTATTATTATTTTGAATCCTGCTGAATCAGTTACTTGTGTGTGCTTTCTCAATGTGATTGCTGCTGCAAACTCTGACCAGCCAGGTCAGCTTCAGCATTTATTGCAGCCCAGTGACGTGCGGTGAGGTTCACGGCTGGTGAGGCAAGTGGGCAAAAGCCGCCCTATGTCTGCCAGTACCAGCCGCCCACGTCGGGGCTTCGGGGCCAGCTTCAGTGGGGGGGGGGAGAAAGAAGGGAAACCCGGGGCTAGGCAGTCCACTCATACATACGCACCCCCGACCACACACTTCCCTCTTTGCAAAAAGGCGAAGTCGAAGCAAAAGCGGGGTAAGCAGAGCCAGACCCGAAGGCGGTTTGAGGGGGTTAAAGAGAAAGTGAGGGGCCGGAGAGGAGTGGGGCGCAGTGCTTCTTACCCGGCTTGGAGAGGCATGGACAGTGGGGTGGGGGACTCCCGACTCGGTCCTCCTCCCTCAGTGGCCTCTGAGTCAGGGCAGAAGGACGGCTGGAGAGACTCGGGCGAGCAAGCCGCACACAGCGCTCCGAGAAGCAGCGGCACAAGGGGTGCCCCTGCCGCCTTCCAGCCTCCCTCTGTCCGTCTCCTCCCAATTCATGTGGCAAAAAGAGGGTTTAAAGGGACCGGCAGGTGGCGAAAGAGAAAGTGTCCTGGCACTTTAAAGTGCATGCCGCCTTCCAACCATACAGCGAGACACGTCCCGTTTTATGTCTGGAAACCTCGACATGAGCGCCAAAGATGAAAGCAGCCTCAATGCCTGGCAATGCCGCTTGCCCCCCGCCTCCTCTGACCCCACCGCTGTGTCCAACAGGCCAGGCGTCTCACATTTATGGCCGACATAAACGCAAGACACCTGGCCTGTCAGACATAGCGGCGAGAATGTCCCTGCTGCTGCCACGCTCCGCCACCTCACCCCCCTCCTCTCACCCCACTGCTGTGTCCAACAGGCCAGGCATCTTGTGTTTATGGCAGATATAAATGCGAGGCACCTGGCCTGTTGGACACAGCAGCGAGAATGTCCCTGCCACTGCCACTCTCCGCTGCCTTGCCCTCCGCCTCCTCTGACCCCACCTCTGTGTCCAACAGGCCAGGCGTCTTGCATTTATGGCAGACATAAATGTGAGGCGCATGGCCTGTCGGACACAGCGGGGGAGCACAAGGCGGCAGCCGGCAAAGAAAGGGGAGAGGAGGAGGAAAGGGAGAGGGGAGCAGGACGGGGCTCCCAGTGGGGGAGAGAGGGCTGCCCCTCTCTTCTCAAACAAACTCTCTCTTAAATTGAGAGTTTGTTTGAGTGAAGAAAGAAACACATGCACACACAGACACAAACACACACAAATTCCTCACAATAAAAAATTACAAATTAAATTACAATAATTTTGAATTCCCCCCCCTCCCTCTGTTCGATCCACATACTTTTTCCAGCTGTGGATTTCAACTCTCCTCTTGTCTGCCCACCATGATGAAAATGTAAAAAATTAAATAAAAAAGCAACTTAGGCACGATTTGCTGCTCCCAGATCAGGAGGTGGGAGAATCACGTGCCTCCTTTGCATAAGGAATTTTTTGCCTTTTAACCCTTGCTTAACTCTGAGCAATGGTTAAAAGGTGAAAAATTCCTTATGCAAAGGANGGTAGTAAAAAAAATTGAAATCCACAACTGCCACACACATGTGCGGAAGGCGTGCACATGCGACATATGAATGCTCACAGCGCGAACTGGTAATAAGTGAACCCTACCACTGTTTCTAAGCATGATTCATGCTTAGAACATGTAGGAGATTTCTAGAACTTTTGCAAGCCATGATTTAACTCTAGCAGGTTAAAGTCCAGAATTAAGTTCTAATCAAATTATAGCATTCTTTTTCCCAGGACCTGTTCCAACAATACTGTTGGCAGTAAAATTCTGTGTCATTTTGCCAGATTTTCCAGTATGCATGAAGCAAATATAGCATGAGTCTGCAAATCTTGAAGCATGTGGCTATTTTCCCTTTTTTAAAAAAAATTTGTAAAAATTTATTTATTAGACTGGTTGGCCATACAGCTTCATTGTAAACCGCTTAGAGAGGGCTGAAAGCCCTATGAAGCGGTATATAAGTCTACTGCTATTGCTATTGCTATTGCTATTGCAGTACTTCACTCTAACCACTGCACCACCACAGCTGATGGATGGATAGATATAGAAATAGCCCGACTTATATACAATTTCCTAGTGTTTTACAGCCCTCCCTAAGAGGTTTACAGAGTCAGCCTATTGCTCCCAACAATCTGGGTCCTCATTTTACTGACCTCGGAAGGATGTGAGGCTGAGTCAATCTTGACCCAATCAGGATTGAATTCCAGACTGTGGGCAGAGTCAGCCTACAATACCGCATTCTAACCACCACATCACCAGGGCTCCTAATGCAACATCCAGTCAACTACAGCAATAGCACTTAGACTTATATACCACTTCACAGTGCTTTTACAACCCTCTCTAACTAGTTTACAGAGTCAGCCTCTTGCCCCCAACAATCTGGGTCCTCATTTTATCCACCTCAGAAGGATGGAAGGCTGAATCAACCTTGAGCCTGGTGAGATTTGAACTCCCAAATTACAGACAGCTGGCAGCCAGCAGAAGTAGCCTCCAGTACTGCACTCTAACCTCTGTGCCACTGTGGCTCATCACCAGGAGACAGTAAATTCTAGTCCCACCTTAGCCATGACACTTCTGTGAGTTGAACTTCTGGGAGTTAAACACACATCTTAAACTTGCCTGGTTTGCTTAAGAGAAAGAGAATGAGAGAGAGAGAGAGAGAGAGAGAGAGAGAGAGAGAGAGAGAGAGAGAGAGAGAGATGTCATAGGAGTTATTTTTAGCAATGGGCATGTCAAAGATACACAAAACTGGGAACAGATACCTGAAGCTCTTGCACAAAAGGACTCCCTGGTTTCTCACCTTCAGAGGCACAAATGTCCAATCTACAAAGGCTGCCAAAGCTTTGCCATACCAGGGATTGAGTCCACCTGGAAAACAAAAATATTACTGGAAATGTCACTTCTATGCTCTTTGGCCAACTTGTTTTTGAAACAAGGCATTCTAGACAAGAGAGGGCCAATTGGATAATGCAGCTTAGGCCCATGATGTGTTCACATAACCGACCACCAGCTTCCAAATACAAATTGGCTGGTTAGCCAGACAAGAGCACCGTTTCAAAATGCAGAAGAGCTTCATTCATCCTTGGCTTGTTTTAACGTTCCCCCTGTAGCAATTTTGCTCTTCTGATGCAGGTGCCGCCTTGGTTGCGTTGTTGTTTTTTTTGCTGCCAGTTCCACAGGGACACCGATTTGCAAGCGATCTCCCCTCTCCTCCTCTCTAAAGTCACAGGGCATTCTGATTTATTTCACTCACATTACCTATCCGACTAAAAAAAAGACAATTCTGTTGTCCTTAAATGTTGCCAAGCTTTTTTAAACTGTGTGTAAACTCCCCCCTGCCACGAGCTGTAATGGAAGCTCATGGTTATGCTAATGGATTTGCTCTGTTTTGTTATAGTGGTCTCTCTTTTTTTTTCTTGGTCTATGACTGTCATAAAATCTTATCTATCCCCACCATACTAGGACGGCAGCCCTCAAAAGTTGTGTTTTATTTGTTATTCTCCGCTGGCATCACACGTTAAAGCAGAATAAAAAATGCAGGGCCAAGAACAGGGAATGAAAACTGGTCTGCTTGCCCACCTTAGACCAAAAATGTGTTGTGATGGTGCCTATTTAAATTCATGCATCATGGTTGCTACTACCTCCATGATATGTACTTCCCCATGCGTCGCTTGACCTTAAAGTTTTTCCTTCTGCTTTGTAATTGTACATCGAGAGAGAGAAAGGAATAATAAAGTTGAGTTTCATAGAAATGAAGATAATAGCTTTTATTTTTATAAAAAAATATTTTTCCTTTCATATACATTGATGGGTTCTCGGATTGGCAGCTTTGATTTTTTAGAAGGTAAATGGGCAAATCAGAACTCAGTGGGAAGATCTGAGCCTTGAAGGACCCATGTTCAAACCTCCACTGGAGGAAGAAGACCATTTAATGACTTTTTGGACTAGCTGGGATGAATCCATGGGGTCAGCAAAGAAGGAAACAAAACTTTGCTTGCCTCAGGGCAGTCAATTATTTGAAAGCACGATTCCATCCTGACTTACCAATTGGAATTCGGGACAAAAGTGATGTTTGGATTCCTGGTTTGATTGCAGCTTCATACTGATTTGTTTCTGTCTCCCATCCAAACAGCAAACCAACCCTATTCAAATGTAAGCCAATCAACTGCAAACAAGAGCAGCTAGGAAAAAAAAGGAGGAGAAGCCAAACATAGTAATAACCAAATCAACATTTGTTTATCCTGCAGACCGATTTGGCTTGTGAAAGAACCCATGATTAAAACAAACCACAACTTAGCATGAACTCGCATTGCTGTTGTCTCGCTACAGCAATGCAAGTTCATGCTAAGTTGTTGCACCAATTACTGACTTCCCAACTCATTCCTGAAGCTGGTTTTTTTTAACGATGGCTTTTATTACATTAACTATAATTGATTTGGTCTTTGCAGCATGCTAAACCATTCACCGTGACATAGTGACATACTCTGTCAAAGCATTTTCTGGTGTACTTGGCCTTATGTCTCTTTCCTCTGCTTTCTTATCAAGGCTTATTTAAGACATTTAAAGATATTTGTAGTCCTCCCTGTTCTGACCTAGGCTTCCTGAGAAAGCATAAATCACAATCTTAGTCCCCAAACCCTCTGTTATTTAGACGGCTGTGAATTATGATCATTCACAGCCCATAATGATTCACAAAAAGCCTGTGAAGATTCCAACAGATGTCTGCTCGAGTTGACATAGTCTTTCAGGGTAATGTTGATAAGCACCCATCTTTATCTCCCATTGAAAAGCTGCCAGAGACCTAACTGCCAATTAGTTTTGCAAGGCCAAACAGAGCACAGAATCAAACAGAGCTTTTCAGACCTTGAACTGACTTGATAAACTAATTGCTTCCTGCAAAGGGTCATGTCCATTTGCTCCTCTTTTATGTCTTATGGGAGGGGGCCAATCATTTCCAAGCCTTACTCCCGAGTCGCCCTTTTTTCCTTAATTGTTCTTGCCTTCTGGCAGCTCTGCGCATGCTCACACTGGGAAAAGGCTCACACTGTTCTTCTGCCTCGCTGATGTCAGACTCTGGAGGGAGCGCATAGCTCCCAGATGGCCCTGGCCCCCTCTCTGCCTCCGTCGCAGAGCCCTGGTCCGAGCCTTTTCCAGACTCCAGGACTGGCCCATGTTCCTCCCCAACCTCTTCACTATCCGAATCTGCTGCCAGCTCCACAGGCTGCTGGCAGACCACAACACTCCCATACCTTGATGAAATATACTTCCTTTTGGAGTTCCCACCTGAGAAAGCTACCCATAAGTTTATTCCGCAAATTGCCTTTCCTTTCAAGCCCTGCCTCTGAGGTTGACATTCTCCTGGAAGCCTTTTAGCCATTCAGCAGATTGTATCAGCAGGTTTCCAAATCTATCATTTTTCAAATTGGGGGCTCTCTCCAGCAGAGCATCCCAAAGGTGCTTTTCAAAAGGCAGTTGGACTCTCGTAGGTTTTTTTTCCCTTGAAAATATTTTGCTTCTCATCCATTCAGTTCTGAGGTCAGAACTGAAGAAGCTTCTTGGATAAGAAGTGAAACATTAAAAAAACTTAGAAAGTCCAGTTGTCTTTTGAAAAGCATCTTTGGGTAAAACCACGGACTGAATGATTGACAACCCCCGTAGACATTGTCAGTGTTTGTTGCATAAATTCAAATCCAGAAGCACACACAGATAACTGATGCAGTAGAATTCATTAACTTCTTTATATACATAAGAATAGATAAATAAATGTACAGGTGATACCAACAGGTGATTCTTCCAAGTGAACACAAGGCAGGAGAGTTACAGGCAAACACAAGCAGTTGGCTCCATTTCAGCAGAGAAGCCAGACAGATTGCTAGTTTACTTCTCAGAGCAGCAGACTGCTTAAGTTTCTGTTTCAATTCTTTGCACAGACTCAGATCTATTTAAGCTCCCATTGGCTGACTTAATTGCTATGCATATTCATTGGCTGACCTTGTTCCCATGTCTCTCCCAGTCATGAATATTTTAACAGACATCTCCAGCAGAACATGAAAAACCTGAAATGGCTTATTTTGTAGGGTTGGGGGATTGCACTTGGCTAGCTCTCTGGATTTCTCTTCTGATTATGAAATCTTTGTGTTGCAGGGGGGGTATGCAGCCTATCGGTATGCCCAACCTACTACCGCTACCGCCACTGCCTACAGTGATAGGTAAGATTTCCTTTTATACTGAATAGATCCTTGACTTGGGAAGCACAACGCTCTTTGGACTCCACCTTGGCTTTTGTGTCACCATGATTTTTCCTTGCTCCATGCATAGCAAGAGCTTCTAGACTTGAAATCCATGAATAGCTGTGACCAAGACTGGACGGTTCTTCTCCAGTGAGGTAGCCTCTATCTGTTCAGCATCTGTGCCCATTGTTATGATAAACAGCAACCCACATATCTGGAGGGTACCAGTTAAGGAAAGTGGAATTCACCTATTCTTCTATCAGGGCAAAGTCAGAAAACTGTACAAAAAAGATAAGCCCTTGCAAAAAGACATGTTCCCCCAAAACAGTACATTAGGGAAATGGGTATGCATAAGCAGTAGAGGGTACATGAAAATGCAGGTGCCTTTTCCTGTGGCTTTTGAAAATATTTACAAACAAGCATGAAAATTAGATGAAATAAACAGAGGATAAGGAAAGTGAAAAGCGGAGATTGCTATCCCTCCTCTCTTCTGTAGTGTTATTTCCACAAACATATTTAAACCCTTAAGCCACTGAATCAACTCTTGGTATCAGAAGCAGGATGTACATCAAAGTAAGTCTGCAAAGCATTCATTCTGTAACAATGTACGCCTGTTTGGGCTCTGCTCAAAAATAATTTTTAAGTGTCTTAGTTACTGAGGAGTAAACCTCAACTCTCACACCTCCAAGTAAACATACCTAAAATTGCCCTGTAAACAGAGCGTGCTTAAGTTGGGTCCTGATTTAACTTTTTTCTGAGTGCTACAATGCGCTTAACCATGAATGTAAAAAAAAAAAAATCCAGCTGTTTTCGATCAAGACATGAAGCCGTAGCAGAAACCTAAACCAAAATTAATGGTAAGCATCTAGTTGCAGCTTATTGCAAAAAAATGCAATTGCAGAGTCGTTCATCCCCTGTGACCGTGATGGCGAACCAATGGCACACATGCCAGAGGTGGCATGCAGAGCTCTCTCTGTGAGCATGCATACTGCTGCAAGCTGCTCTTCTGCTTTTCAGCATGCATAGGCACACCAGCCAGCTGGTCTTTGTGGCTGCTGGCCCAAAACAGCCAAAAAACAGGCAATTTTTCAGGCCAAAAAACAGGCGATTTTCCAGACATTTTCAGGCCATTTTAGGCCATTTTTTGGGACAAAAACAAGCAAAAAACCCAGCATAAAACAGGCATGTGCACCCTGGCCAGCTGGTCTTTGGGTTTCCAGTGCTCCTTTGCACACAAAGATCAGCTGGCTGGCACGCATGTGTGTGCTGGAAACCTTAAGACCAGCTGGCCGGTATGCATATTCCCACTGGTCAGCTGGTGTTTCTGGCACTCCGGCCAGCGCACATGCACACGCATGCATGCATGTTGCAGTTTGGGCACTGGTTGGATATCACTGTCCTAGGAAAAACTTCTGTAACACAGTTATTGATTTCATTGGGGGAATTAAATCTATTATTCAGTGTCTCCCTTTGGAAAACCTGGAGTTTCTCACTTTTGCCCATTAGCTGGAAATCCACAAGAACAGGAACATCACGGCATTGGCAAATACCCAAGAGGGCATTTGCAAAACTCCCAAATTAAATACTAGTTTATAATGTTTCTAAAATTAAAGCAGCTGAAATCTCACGGGATTGTGAAATCTGGTGAGAGCTGGTGATTCGTCTTTGCAAATGACATTGAAAAAATAATAATAATCTGCCTTGGAGGCAAGATAGCTGAATTCTTGAGATTTAGACATTTAAAAAAACCAAAGAAACTGATGCACAATAAATTTTCAATCTGTACCTTACAGCCTCAAAATAAATTCTGCAGAAATCAAATACGGTCCTTTTAAATACCAAACCGAATGGAAAATCCCGTTAGGCAAGAATAGTTTTCTCCAGTTACAATTAAATCCACATTCAGTGCTCAAGAAGGAGAGAAAGAAAGATACGGCAGGGGAAAAGAGGTTCGACTGTTAGCTAAGAGAGGGGGGCGGGTTGCATTTCCATCATGAGACCAGATAAGATGATTAGAACAAGAATCAGATTTCAGAGTTGTAAAGATCTACTGTACCTGGAGAATATTTCCAAGAAGCGTTACTGAATGTTATTCCATTTTGAGGAAGAGACAAAAACCAAAAGTGCCTCTAAAGGTGAAACAGTTCTTGGGTCAGATGCCTAGTTTCTCAAAAGTGCTGTTCCTGGATCCGTTTCTGAAAAGAAGTACAGATATATAGAGATTTCTATACTTATGTGGAACAATGAATGTTCAAGCTCTTGCATGTCGTGTTGCCTTCCCAATGTGCTTATCATGTCCTGGCAGTGAAGACACAGGTGCACACACACACACACACACACACACACACACACGCATGCACACACAAAAACAAACATGTTTGATGAATAAGACAAATTTTGCATGAGCTGGCTGAGGCATGCTGGGTTCTGACAGGTAAGCAAGCTAACCTATTTGTTTCGTTTCGTTTTCCCGGACATCTGGATTCTTAGCCGTATAACTCTGGTTCTGCTGTTTGTGCCTGTTGTGTAGATGGAGATAGGCTTGGTTTTCTTTTTTTCTTTCCTTTCTTTTTCTTTCTTTTCATTTCCTCTTGAGGAAAATGGATGGCAATGAAGCACAGCTCGAGAATTCACATTTCATTCCCATGAAGGTGTGTCTCGTTGAGCATGTAGTCGCTAAAAAAAAAAGTACTTTCTCTGTGAGCTTGCGATGCTGAGAAGATGGCCTGGGTTACCGAGAGCCAACTGCCCCCAAGAGGTTTTAACTGACGTTACTTAAGACCTAAACAGTAGACAAATAAAGTAGGAATGTTTCAAATGTGGGGAAATCAGGTCTTAGCAAATATCCTCTGGGTTCTCCATCTTGAGGAGCTCCAGAGACAGCAAGGAGGATGACATGGTAGCTGGGTGTACATCAAGGGATGTTCTTCAACTTGGTTAAATTAGAAGCCGTGTGCAGGAAAGCACTAAACAGGTTTGCTAATAGGTTAATTTTGGAGCAGAGGGAAAACATAACTTTATGGATATTGTCAGGGTTAGGCAAGACCCCCCCAACGAAAGGAGATGGCCTTGACTCTAAGAGAAAGGAATGTTATTATGACTATATACCTCCCACACTCCATATAATCCCCCTCCCATTTTCCCACAGCATTAAATGCAGTAGGCCTGGAAGGCCCAATGCAAAAGATGGCTTCCAGCCTGACAAATATGACCTGAGGTGACATGAGGTTTTGATGTGGCCAATAGCAGCAGAGGGGCTACCTTAACAAAGTTATAAAACTTGTCTATACACCTGTAGGACATGGAGTATATGTGCGTTCTCTATTTGCGTATGCCTGGTCGGCTCTCCCACAAAGGGTTGTTTGATCAATTTGCTGGTCGATCAAGGGATGGAAGCTGAGGAGCATCATCTTCATTTCTTTTAGGTTGAAGCAAGCAATCTGGGTAAGAAACATCAAATCTAGTGCTCCTAGGTGAGGAAGGACAAACACATGTTCATTTGGAATTTGATGGTCAATAGAAATATGCAGGTGGTAGCAGATGTGCAAATGGGGAGGGAGACAATGCTACTAGTAGTTTCTAGGAAAAAGAGAAGACCCTTGTCTCTACTTTTGCAAGGCACAGGGCAATGCGTAATTCATAAAGCACAAAACCTGGGCAGCCAGTGGGACTCACTATCCTAATCCAACTTCTCAGAAACCATTCCAAATTTATCCTAAAGATCCATTCTATTCCAATTTTGAAGGCTCTGGGGGGATAATGGGAAATGGCTGTAAATAATACCTTTGTGGGAGTTCCAATCTATTGCCAAACTGTCTGTGCAAACTACTTCTGGTGTAGGAAAGTGAAAAGTGGGAAGGTGAGGGAGGACTATCCCACTTGTGAATGAAGCATTTATGCTTGAGTTCTGTTGCCATGATTTTGCCTTTTTTAGATGTTTTTGGCTGCATGGTTGAGTCTTCGTAGACCTATTGTGAATAAAGCATCCCTTGGATTGCAGAACAGAATGCACTGGAGGACAGGCAGGCAATGTTACTGAGACTGGCTTTGGGGAAAGCAGGGATATCTTTTGTGGTCCACCAGCGGCCAGTGGAGCTTGCAGCAGATTCGGACAGTGAGGAGGTTGGGGAGGAACCTGGGCCAGTCCTGGAGTCTGGGGAAGGCTTTGATGAAGGCTCTGTATCTGAGGCAAAGAGGGGGCCAGGGCCGTATGCCAGTTATCAGCTGCCTTCAGAGTCAGACATCAGTGAGACAGAGGAACAGCTGGAGCCTGTTCCCAGTGTGCTCATGCCCAGAGTTGTCAGATGAAGGGAACAGCTAAAGAACAGGGGCTGACTTGGGAGTAAGGCCACAGATGGATGATCAATGGCTCCTCCCAGAGGAAATAAAAGAGGAGTCAAAGGGGAATGGAGTTTGCAGAGACAATTAGTTTGCTTAATTGATTTGTGGCTGTCGGAGACTCCTTGCCAAGTTTGGCAGATATCGGCCTGTCAGCTCTCCAAGCCAAATACGGTCGGTGACTGTAAATCCTCCCTTTGCTGGATGTGAATGAGCAGAATTCACAGTAAATTAATAAAAGGGGTTTTTGTTGGGACCAGGAGTTTGCTTCATGCTCTAGATCAGAACAATATCTGCTTGGTAAAATGCAATGGCTTCCACAATCAAACTAAGCTGATCCAAAGTTGTCCACTCAATCTCAGGAAGAACTGTCCCAGGGTATTTCGAAAGGTGACCATTCTCAAATTTTCCCTCCCCGTTTCTCCGCAAGTTACCATTCAAAGGTAAATTTGGAATAAGGATGTGCAAAAAAAAAAAAAAACTACAGGTAGACAAGGATAAAAGTTGCCCAGGAAGTAGTCAAACATGTGATGCTTTGAGTACATTCCAGTGAGCAAAAGCAGATGTCAGTTGCTCATAACGATATGATTTTATGAGCCTTCAGTGACCCATCCTTGAGTAGTTCACTTATTCTTTGATCTGGTAGAGAAAGCTTGTTGTTCTCCCTGCCTTTGCTTAGAGGAAAGAAAGCAGCTGATCCCCACTCACTTCTGCGCCAAAGTATTGTGTGTGATTCTGTTAGCCCAAATCCACAAGTGCCTTGGCATTCATAATATTGCTCTCTCGATTTTCTAGTTCTACCGTTTCAGTTTTCTGTGTTCCTGTTGAACTGTGTTGCACAAGATCCCCAGAGCCTTGGGTGAGAACCCATTTTCAAATCCCAACCTTATTTATTTATATACTAGCTGATAACCCGGTGCTACCCAGGTATTTATTTATCCCAACCTTTCTTCCATGAACGTCGCCACAATTTCTAATGTTAGATTTTCCCCCTTACTAGAGGGAGCACCTGAACTTTACGGCATGCACATGTGAAACAGCCATCTAGTCTTCCTGCTACTGGTGTGCATGCATGCATGGCGATCAGCATGCTCACGCTGGAAAACAGAAGATCAGCTCTTCCAGTTTCTGGCACTGCCTCATGCATGAAGGCCAGCTGATCGTCACACACGCATGAAACCCAGAAGAGGAACAGCCGTACCATGCGTGCCAGACAACATGGCTCCGCATGCCACTTCGGGCACACATGCCACAGGTTCACCATCATGGGCCTAGCATGTCTTACAGTGCTGTGCAGCACTGAAGCTTCATGTTACCACACAGAACCTGGAATGGCATTTACAGTGTTACATTTTACCATTTAATGAGATTACTTCATTTTGAGAATCTGGCTGACCAACAGAATAGAATATTGTTGGAGACAGCCGAAGCAAGTGATTAACAAGGCACAAGTTGCTTCCTCTATTTTTGAATTATAAATTATCCTTGGCATGCTAAACATTCAAATTCTCCCTTTATGTATAATTAGAATCACATTAATATTAGTCATTTGCATAATTGCAGGTACTTTAAATGGATTTAGTTCATTTGAGTATTATTTGGGCGTGGGGGGTGTGTATTTGAATAGGTGTATCCCCAACAGAATCAAGATTTTATTTAAATGGTTAGTTGCAAATCCATTAAAATTTCCTCTTTTTTTTCTCTCTGTCTAGGGGAAATTTTAAAATGACTTTAAATAATCTAAGTAAAGAATACTATGCAATAAAGCACCTTATGCATATATGGCTTTTTCAAATTATATTTTAGTTGCTAAGTAGTAGATTCTCTTTATTAACTTTCTACTATATTTCCCCATTCAAGGAAAGATACAGTTTTTTGCTTTGCCTGAAATAATTTCTACATTCCTTGAGGACACTGATTTCTTCTAAGTAGTAAAATAGAGCAAAACAATATTTTCTTCTCGATTTACCCTTCCTTTCATGTCCTTTGCTGTGAGTTTACTATATTTAAAAGTAATTATTTAAATTAGTTAAATCTTCCAGAATTGGGTGTATAGAAAAATAGACAGAATAGAATATTCTTTACTAGCTGGATATCTGTGCTTTGCGACAAAACTATGGATCGGTCAATGCAGGAGAAATCTGGTTCATTCCAGTTCAATGCATTGGCTCGGTGGTCAGTGATTGAAACACATAAGGGAATATCACTCCTGCAGCCTTGAGTCCGAAAGCAGTTCTATGGGTTGAAGGCGTAGACATTTTGGTAATGAGCTCTCGACCACTCCTGAGTGAAGGAGTGGAACGTCTGCCAGTTTGAACTGAGGTAACAGAAATTGAGGCAACTGGCAGTTGGAACAGAGGAACAGAGTTATTTTCAGGTGGGGAGAGGGAGTAGAACTCCTTAGCATCAGAGCATGTTAATTACTGTATAAGAAATACTAATGATCTGATAGCCATTTTGACAAATCCTTTCTTAGCAAGTTCCTGGAAGCTGAGAGGAAGATACATACCAAATTTCAAGTTTGTAGTTTTATGGTTCTGGAGATTTCATGGTGAATGAGTGGTATTTGGCTTTTATATATCTATAGATTGGCCAAGTGTGATTGGACACACAAGGAATTTGTATCTGGTGCATAAGCTCTCAGTGTACATACAAACAACCAAGTGATAAGTCAGAGATCATAAATCATAAGATACAATCATAAATCATAAGATACAAACAACAACAACAACAACAACAACAACAGATAAATCATAATACAATATAGAAGAAGGTAGTAGAAAAGATGAAAGGTGAGAAAGATAAGAAGATGAGAAGGATAATAGCAATACAACTCTACTATGTGGGTAAATATCTTTAGGCATAAGGCAATGCTGTGAAAGTTAGGATGGCACATGGGGGGGGAAAACTACCATATTTTTGGGAGTATAAGATGCTCCGGCGTATGAGACAAAACTTAGTTTTTGGGGAGGAAAATGAGAAGAAAAAAAATTCTGCCTCTGCCTACCAGCATCCATGGTATTCAGCTGACACATGGTAACAAGGTCAGCCAATGAATAGGAATAACAACTAAGTCAGCCAATGAGCGCTATTTGGACTCTGAAATTTGCTTTGTGAGCAACAAGGAGCCTAGCTTAGCCCAGAACTGAAAGTGAAACTGCTTGTGCTTTGCTTGTATTTACTGCTACCTTGGAAAACCTGCTTTTGGTAATGTATTGTATATTATTATTATTTTGAATCCTGCTGAATCAGTTACTTGTGTGTGCTTTCTCAATGTGATTGCTGCTGCAAACTCTGACCAGCCAGGTCAGCTTCAGCATTTATTGCAGCCCAGTGACGTGCGGTGAGGTTCACGGCTGGTG